ATACAATTAGATTTATCGCAGCGTCAGCTATATAGTGGAATTACCTCAGCACGATAATTGGAGCAACGCTCTCTCAATCCAACGATCTCGTGCTCATACTACTTCAGTATCCCTGCCTTTATCGAAGATGGTCCCACACTGCAACCCAAGATGCTTTGGCCGCTGGCATCTCGATGTCTATGCCGGCGTTTATTGGAAAGCGGATTTTGGAAAAATGGCCCCATTGTAAGCGCTTCAACGTGTTACAAGGTGATAATGAGACATCTCGATGAATTCCGCCATGGATTAAGTAGATTTTTCTCACATGCTCTGAAGCCGAATGGCCTCTAAATCCCGATCTGCCCCTCATCGTGTCGCCTGTTGGCTCCCATAATTCTTCGAAGACCATCCATTCGCATACTCACCCGATGATAGTGAACCGTGGCAGTGTGCTAAACAAAGTCCGCCTAGTCCGCAGTAATTTACTCACACATCTTCACTCTGACAACCTCTGATCACTTCCTGAGTTGTTAGTGTAACATGCTGCGGCTTTTGTGCGGAACTCATAAAAAAAAGAACACCATCATAATAAAGATAATCGTCGACAGCTTGATGGCGACGATTTCAAATTGGAAGCAAAGTGAGACAAAATCAATTTTTTACTGAGGTCGTTCAAATCCACCTTGCAAAAAAAACTCATCAAAAATTGGATACTCTCAAGTGGCCAGTTCTTTTAACTCCACCTTGTAGCAGTAACCTTGTCGGTCGGTGGGTCGGTCTAGACTATAACGGCCAGGAAAGCGGCCAAGAGCAATGATGGCTTGATACGTTGCATGAGGACTTGAAATTACTTGGCCTTCATCCCTCAGGCACACAATCGGGAAAAGTGGCGCTGAAATACCAGGAAAGCCCCCACAGGGTGGGACAACGCTAAAGAATAAGAAGAAGAAGTAGCAGTAACCTTGTGCCAACGAACGACCATCCACCCCCCCCCTCCCTAGTTCAACTTCTAGATGAAATCCTCAATTCAATCACCATGATATCTAAATCGACATCCATTTTTTTTTCTCAATGAGAACTCTATGGAATTCTACAGAAGACGTTGAACACCTACCTTTGCGTTGGCGATATATTGATGGTAATTGTGATGTATACTATGCTAAATAAATACATCATAGAAATAGAATACGCAACTGAATCGAAAAACATCCCAAGTGTCCTAAAAGTTGGGGGTCGATCTAATATATAGCTATCGAAGTTTGTTGACATCCGGAAATCCTTGCTGCTACACCCCTTACAGTTTTATGAGTATGAGTTTGAAGCACGATATAAATCCTGCTATTTATTTTCAGTGTGTGATACTTGTGAAAAGCATTCTTCGTTCTAGGCTGGAGGTGCATGCTCAGGGCGGTCACGATTTCTACATAAAATACCCAAAATGGTTCTCGGAGAACGTCCAAAAGTTTCTAAAAGAATAGCATGTGATTTTAAATTTAGCGTTTGCTTTTAGTCTTTGGTCTGTATTCGTTCTAGTGTACCAGTTTTGATGCAACCATGCATTTCTTTTTGTTTGCTTCGATTTATCAGGATCTTCCATTCGAATTTTGTAGCGCTTCGATGTTCTGTTTGTATATTTATTTATTGAGTTCAAGGAACAGCTCTGAATCGTGCTCGATTCTATTTGCATAGCGCAATCCATTACTGTCTCGTTACTTTTTTTTCTTGCAATATCCTGCTTAATTCGGCTCCATGTTGGTGTTTCGAAGGTCAACACAGTTGTGCCTTTCGATGTGATTTTTTAGCCAATAGTGAGAGAAGCAAGCACGATTTTTCATAAAAGTTCTAAATATTCTGCATCAATCTTTAATTTCCTTGGTTCCCGACTTACGAGGAAGTGCATGAGTTGCACTGCGTTCACCCTGTCTGAATGCTAAAAAGCAGTTCATTTTCTGTGGAAACAGAATAACCTCATCCTAATAGTTGGAACGTTGAGGTAGAAAAATTTCCTCAACGTACTGGAGGAAAATTCCAAAGCAGCAAAGGGGAAGAGATCAAAAATTGAAGTGAAGATCTCGTAGAATATCTCTATGGGGTTGTTGAAATGTAACAAATTTTGAGAAGAACTTGATTGTTTACATCGACTCGAAGCGAAGATCCGCTAACGTGGATCGTTCTCCATCTTGCTCGCGGAAAGGTCCGATTCGACTGACATTATTCTGGAACGTGCATAGAGTGCAGCGATTACGATAATTCGATGATAACAAAATATAAATGGGAGGTGCCAAGTGGTACAGGGTGGAGATGTACATATCTTGAGTGAACCGTCCAAACCCGAGAACTGGGAACGTTACAGCCCGTTCATCTAGGGGGAGAGGATAGTGTAAGAGAGCGAAAGAGTGCGAGAAACTTCAAAGATACACTAGTTATTAGACAAATTACTAATTAAGGTGGTAATAGACCAACTAGTAAACTCCCCTAGCCATTTATTCCTTTGTCCCCCTTTTCAGGCGGTTTCCCCTTACAAGTAGCCGTCTGGCACGAGAGAGTATGTCGGGATGAGAGGCAGATAGTGCGAGAGCATACTGTAGTGACTCATCTGATGCTTCGTACTTAAGGCTTCCGATCGTCGACCTCGAGAGAGATCTCCGCTGCAACGACTCGGACTCCGGCCTGCGCCTCCGTCTCCCCTTGATCTCCTTCGGATCCGTCACCTCTGGGCCCTAACGCCTCCGCTGAAGACA